GGCAAAATGTGGTTTTAGAGAAAAACGGCTGACAATTTTTTTTTTAAATCTTTCTAGTTTCTTTCAAAAATCAATATTTTTCAATTCAGTTTTTTTATTATAGAAGTGTTTTTGATGCTCTATTTTTGCATACTTGAAAATTTGAAAAACTTTGAAAATTAACAAAATGGCGGTCATTATTGGCAAAATCAAAAGACTCGATTTTCTCAAAAACATCATTTTTATTTTCTGGAAAATTTGTTTGTGGTTACTAAATAAAAAGGAGAAATTTTTCCAATAGGTTTGATGCACGCTAAAATGCCTCGAAAATCGTAATAATTTTTTTCTGAAAATGGGAAGACTCAGTATTTTGGATAATGTAACGCCATATATTATTCATACATATATATATACTTTACTTTTTTGATCTCAGTAGTAGTAAGAAAGAAATGGCTTCGGCAAGTAGCATTATTATAATAATAATAATAATAATAATAATAATAATAATAATTTTGCGCCAAGGGGTCGATATAATATAAAAACGCTTAAATGCCTCGTAACCGTGGATCAATGTAAACACATAATTTGTATGCATTCTTCATACAAAGCGCCAGGTAACAATATTGTTAATATGTTTTCTTTATTGTTTACAGCGCGCTGATAAGAAAAGCAACGGTGGTTGCCTATGTACATATGTATGTATGTATCTGCCATTATATGTATACTTTCGACACTTCGTCAATAATTTCTTCTTATCTCATATCGACGTGCATACATACATACAGTGCCGGACGAAAGTATTGACGCAGAGAATTTTTCGCAATGTATGCAAATTTTTTTATTCTATTTCCTATTTGCTAATTTTTTATAAAAAAAATAGTTCTTACTACAGAAAAAAAATGATAAAAATAAAATCTACAAACTTTATGCAAAACTCAGGTAAATTCAATAAATTTGTGTACTAATTTACACTAAAATTGCACAGCCTATAAAAAACACACTTAGAGTTTTTCTAAAAAATCTGCTTAGAAAGTTGCTAATTAGTACGAAAATATATTGAATTTTCCTGAGTATTGCACAAAGTTCAGAAATTTTATTTGCATATGTTTTTGTTGTAGTATGAACTATATTTTTATAAAAAATTAGCAAATAGGAAATAGAATAAAAAAACTTTGCATACATTGCGAAAAATCACTGTGGCAATACTTTTGTCTGGCACTGTATGTACATATGTATATTTACATGCATACGAATTTAAATACATACATACAGAAGGCAGCTACTGATAAAAACCTTTGCAAAGTTAAATACTCAATGCTATGAGTGAGTTTAACTTGTGATAGACTCACCAATTGCTTTGAGCTCATTTTAGTGACTAAATAACTCATTTTACACTCAGCGACATCTATCATTTATTTGTACCTTTAAAAAGGTTTGTGTTCTGTCTTTGTTCTTCAGTGGTTTGTTTTTATCATTATTAACCCATTGTCGCCTGCTATCCGATCCTGGCAACCGATTTTGCTCAAATCTTATATGAGACTCTTGTTTGGTATATGTAATTAGGGTATAGTAGTTATTAGTTTCATAAAAATCTTACTTGCAGTTCTCGAGTTATGAAATGGTAATTCCAATTACCACTGGGGCGATTTGTTTAGTGATAATTTTAAATGCTTTAGTATAGGTTTGAATCGGAAATTCTATTTTTGTACATACTATGTGGGTAAAAAATTATTTGTTAGATAAGTTAGTTGTACAAATAAAAATAAGCATCCGGTGCAATCGGACATTGCAGTATGAGTATGATAATGAACCCAACAAACTAGCTGGACAAAAACAACATTTATTTTTTTAAGAACTTCCAATGAATACTGGGTAAGATTGCTGCATGCACATCTACCCGCGTAATCGATACGAATACATAGAAAAATCGAAATTTAAAAATAATTTATTTACATAGTTACCTCTTGAGCTTAAATCTGCATACAAATTGTTAGATAAAGCCTGCGCTAAATTTTTACATTGAATTTGCTTAGTAATTAAGCGTTTTTTAGTACAATTTACATCCAATTATTTAACAGAAAGAAATTTTTTTTCTTAAATTTTTAACGTCAAAGTTAAAAAAATTAGATGTCCCCTGATGTCACCCCCGCGAGGTTTATATATTTTATGTTCATAAGTGTCTACTAACAAACAAACTAATAAACCACTGCAAATTTTTTGAATAACTTTTTTAAATTTTCCTTTCAAAATTTAGTTGTAACAACAGAAAAAATTGGGCATTTCGAAGTTCACTAAAAGTAAGGTAGCGAGGACACCCACTAATAAATATGCTACTATTTTATTACTTACATACTTATCACTTTATACATTTTCGAAGAATAAATTTTTTAATAAGCTTATCAGCTTACAAAATTTCTTATTTCACAGAAGTTGCTTGCATTGCGCCATAAAAAAGTTAGCGTTGTTGCTTGAATGGTTATCCGTTGTAATGATCCCTTCTATTTATACCTCGTAGGGAAAGAAATAGGGTTGCCACATTTTGAAACGGAGAAAGGAGTACATTTATATTTTCGATAGAAAAAAAGCAGTACATGACATAGAAAAGGAGTACAATTTTTTTTTAATTTTTTGTGCAATTTATTGTTCCAAATTACCATTAATTAGGTACAAATAAACAAAGTTATCTTAGAAGTCTTTTTCAAAGCAACAATAAATGTAAAAAATAAATAACTATATGGGTTGGCTTTCTAATAGGGACGATTGTTAAAGAGATGGTGATCGAAGGGGGAGTGGACGTGACACCTTTTCCGACCTATTTGGAGAGGGCATGAACCGCCATTGACAAAAATGTTACTCCAGACCACCTAGGGCCCCTACGGGACCCCTTAGAAAAATTGCCAGAAGTCACAATTTTCACTTGCGACCACTGTCCAATGACCGCCCTTTTAGGAAAGTTTCCCCAACTAAAAAACTTAAAACTTCAAAAGAATTCCCTCTTCCTGTTTGTATGACCATTTTTTTAATTTAAGCCTTATAATTAATTTAATATTTTTCTGATTTTTCTACACGAGCGTCCTGCCCCTAAGGCTATGCTTACACCTTTTTACTATCACACTTAACTTTGCTTACTAAGTAGTGTTTGCCACAATATGAATGGCAAAGTACAGCGCGCAAAATAATAACTGTCGCACAGGTTAATTGGTTTTAAAAGTTTAATCCTGATTTGTATTTGCCAGCTTTGGGAGATAAATACATGCGGCACGAACCTCTTTTTCAGGTGTATTTTTTTTTCTTAGATTTTGTATAAAAAAAAAGAAAAAAAACCTGTATGGGGTTGGTCGAATGAATGCCCTCCTAGTCGGCAGTTTCTAGCCTTTTCGATTGCTGAGTATGAGGCCTTATGTTGGACAAAAAACGGAGTATAAAGGACCCAAATGGGGGAAATTAGCCTATGGTTACAGAAGATATGTAATAAAGTAACTGACGAAGACTTGCGCTTTTCTCGCAAAGTTTTTACCGCCGGTAAACCCAAATAAAGGTTAAAATTTAAAAACAAATTAATAAAATTGAAGTAAAATCTGTGGATAATTAACATTAAACCAATTTTTTTGCAAAATCTATAAAGGCCCCTTTTATTTTTCAAAAAAAAAAAAAAACTGTGGAACAGATATTATTTTATACCCTGTATATGATAAAATATTAATAGCTGGAAAAAGGAGTACAAAAGAAGTGCAAAGCTAATAAAGGAGTACATTTCCAGATATGTTTTTTTTTGGGAGTACAAGGGAGTACATTGCAATAAAAAGCAGTACGTTTACTCCCAAAAGCAGTACGTCTGGCAACCCTAGAAGGAAATATCAGACAGTATCAGGAGTTTGTTTTCTCAACAAGCTTACATTTAAATATCCCCGTACAAAAAATACTTTCAATACACTGTTTTCTGCACTTCGCAGATTATTTTTCGAATTCAGGACAAATACAACAACGATCGAAATCTTACATTATTATTTTGATGTTATGTCTGATCGTATTCAAATGTGGGACCACCTACAAAGGAACATGTAACCAAATAAGAAAGAAATGTTAAATAATAAATCATAAAAAATTTAAAAAATATTTTTTTATTGATAGCTTATGTCCAAAAGCAGTCAGCTACAAGTTAGTTTACATCTAATGCAGAGGAAACCGGTGATCACTATTTTGCGGGTATCGCCCTTCAAAAGTATGTAGTTAGTTACGTCCAAAGGAAATAGTTAATTAATAGTTAACACTAGTCGACTGCTAGTTAGTTAATACTTACCTACAAAATTTGCATTTTTTATTTTTTTTTTATTTTTTTATTATAAATTTGAGAACGGAAACACCAAAATTGTAGAAGTTACGATTTTTTTCATACCTGCGTACATAAAGTGTATACTAAAGCTACATTCGTAGACCACTTCAACACTTGTATAACGAAACAGACGATAATATGATTAGGCAGTTCAGGGCTAGATGGAATGAGTTAACCACTTGCAAAACTGAGAAAATTATGTACGAAAACGACGGAAGCAACTATACTCGCTTCTAAAAATTAGTATCACTAGCGTGGACAGCTGCCGGAAATGTCGTGAGCGGCAGACCAGAGAAACCTTGCCCACGCTACACTTTACCAGCTTGCGTGATTGATAGGTACCAAAATAAAAGTGACATTCAAGTTTTCTAATATAGATCATAAATATATTTACACTAAATATATACAGATATGTATGGCCATAAATATCTACATATTTAAGTATTAACTAAGTGGCATGCAAGCGTTTTAATAAGGCATTTTTGACATCTTTTGATAACTTTGAAAGTGATTAAAGTATAGTTTAAAATTCGGTTTTAGTTAGATTTTTTCAACATAGCATACATTCACCAAAATTTTTTCGCTGAATATCAATATATAAAGATATACCTAAGTATGTATGCATTTATTAATTTATAAACGAATATAAATTAAAAATTCGTTTTTCATTTCAAGACACAACCGCCTTAAATTGAGCGCTCACTTGGCATTTTCAAGAGCGTGCATTTAAGTACGCCATCGTCTACAGACGCCTTAGAATATTCCATTTATTCATACGCGACATTGGCATATAACGGTAAACATCTTCTTCGGGTAAGCGATCCTGGCGTCCATCCTCAGGTTCAACTGTAGTTGGTGCTTGTGTTGTAATTGGTGCTTCCGTTGTAGTTGGTGCTTGTGTTGTAATTGGTGCCTGTGTTGTAATTGGTGCTTCCGTTGTAGTTGGTGCCTGAGTTGCAGGAGTTGCCTGAGTTGGTGTTGTTGTTTGTGGTGGTACCCATGTGCCTTGCAAACAATTGTTCAAATTCGTTGCACTAGTCGAAAGGCTGTTAATGTAGACATTTCTTGCATCAGCTTTACAAACTCGTTCATCATCGTCGATGCGTTGATACAGAATGGTCAAATTGTTGAGAACTCTTTCTGAACTCGAAGCAATTGTAAGCAATTCTCTAGCTTCAACACTCGACTGTGTGCGTGTGTACGTTGTAGTTGAGGGAAGAAAACAGAATATGCAAAATAAAAATTAATGTTCGATGAAAAAAGTTTTTAGAGAATTATCTATGTATGTATGTACATAGGCTGATAGCCAAATTTGAATGATTAGAAATTTCAATAAATGAAATGTAGTAAATTACATATATTTGTTTTTAATTTTCTGGTCAATTCTTTTATCTTATCTACTTTACTCTGTAATAGGAAAAAATGTTTGCCCGTCTTCTGTAAGTTGTTGGTCGTGTCTACTAGGAGGGATTCAAAATATAGAATTTTTAAATTTATTTTATAGAGATTTATTATACGGCGTCATTAACTACAGTTTCAATATTAAATAGGAATTCAACAATTTAGTACTTAATATGAAAAAAGTGCATCAAAATCTTAACGCTCTATTAAAAAAAAAAAACAAAAACATGGCGTACATTATTTAGAGGACACGGCCGTGGCTGAATGGTTAGAGGTGCATATGACCACTCCGTAGGACCTGTGTTCGCACCCTGGTCCAATCAACATCTAAACTAGAAAAGATTTTCTAACAGCCGTCGCACCTCGGCCGGCAATGGCCAACCTCCGCGTGTATTTCTGCCATGAAAAAGCTTCTCATAAAATCTATTTGCCCTTCGGGGGCTGTAAGAATCTCCGTTTGTGTAAGAACATCAAGAATATAGGTACCAAATGAAAGAAAAAACACATACTTTTTTCAAAAACAAAATATTGCAATTTTTCAACGATAATCAAACACAAAATTTTAAAAGGATATTTTCCATACCCATTTGTCCTTATGTACCAAAAAGCTTATATTTTTTAGTTCTACATAAATTTCTATTTTATTTTGTACCCAGATTGCTATTCTACATTCCACTGCCTATTTTAAATACTTTTTCTTAATTTATTATTTTTTTGAAGAGAGAAAAACTATAGAGCAAAAACTATATACGAAGTTTTATTATATTTCGCCCATAGTTTCGCGAATATACATATTTTTTTGTGTGTAAAATTAACTCTCGCACGGTGTTACTATTAAATTCTTAATGTTTTTTTTTCGATTCATGGCAGGGTTGGTCACTTCATAGCAGCAACGATCAGGAGTACTCCGTGGGTTCTATATAAAATCTAGCGTTTAGAGGACAAAGCTCAAAGTCTAAAACAGATACAATCAAAAGTCTGGTTGCGTGGGAGCTTTTTATAGAAGGTACATTTATGGAAGCGCAAAGATTAAAATATCTCTCTGGCCATGGCTGGTAGCTCCCCATGTCCACCACTATAGTATTTTGTTATTGAAACTATCTGCTGAATCAGACTAAGGTCCTACCTCACCTCCGGGCCAACTATTTTTGAGGCACGCTCGTTTATGTATGATTTATAAGAAAAAAAATATTGGTAAGTAGAAAAAGGAACAAAATTAAGTAAACTGAATAGGTTCGCTTACCACGAGCACTAAACCGTCAGCTGAAATGGGCAGATGGATTTTCAGGCACATAAATACGCTAGCAATCTTGAACTGAGCCAGAGTAAATCTTATAAACCTTTCAGAAATCAAAGCGACCATCAGGCTCTCTTCAATATTTTTGTTTCGCAATAATAGACCTTTCTTTAGATCTTATTGTGCAAATGTTTTGATTACAAAATGAAATGAAATGAAATAAGATGCTTTAAAAGCTTTAAAAGATACAACTCAACTGGGCAGCAAGCCACTAGGTATTAAACCGCTCATAAAAGACTGCGTTTCCACTTGCGCCAGATCAGCCAACTCTGGGCGATAGAACTACACACATCTACTATCTGACTGTTTGGTGTTGGACCGACAAAAGCATTTCATCTACAGCCCATCCGGTTAGTAGAAGAAAAAAAACCATCATTAAGCATTCGCTGGCAAATCGTATGCTGAGATTAAAGAATTCATCATATGAGCATTAACAGATCTTCTAGCTCGAAGTATTCCTTTTCATATTACGCCCAAAAGTCTTAGCTAACTAACTAACTACACACGATCTTCACGAGCACTATAAAGGAGAACCTTCCCAGCCGACAAAATGAAAAGCGCTTTAAATTAATATTTTAAGCACAGGCCTTTTCTAATAAGAAACTTTATAATTTGAAACTGTATGGGAGACCTGGCGTAGCATTTCTACTGAATTTCCGTCCATTTCACACTATAAAGTGGTAAAGAATGCTCTATCATGTCAAAGGATCAAATAGAAAAGCAACTATGTAGAGGTTCTGGGTGTGTTCGAGCTATATGCGTAATAATTATCGCAGTATCTAAATTTTGTTGCTTTCTTGAAGTCCTGTTGCTGATGCTCAACGAAAAACCGACTGAAAAGCTGCAGAAATTGCGCGAGCAAAAATTTGTATATTGCATTTTATTTGCTAGTGATGAGCAAGTGATGGTAAAATTTGTTTTTCCTCGTGCGCTTGATATAATACATATACAAAGTTGCCTCAATTTGCGCATAGAACGTAATGCTCATCAAAAAAAAAGTACCACTGCCTGCATTAATTACTGTTCTAATACACCCTCTTTTCAGATGTACCTATATCCTTAGTACCGTGCTAATAAATGTTGAGGATTTTTCCCCTCTGACAATGTTATAATGGCCATTTTGGCTATGCTTAACTGTCTCGTAAATCTGAAAGGTCAATTTCCACCTCCGCTCTAACTCGCAATTAGTCATTATCACATTCTCATCTAATGACTTCTACTTTCACTCGACGAAAATTCTCTGCACAAAACTTACCGCATTATTGTAACAGCTAAAGAACTCCAAACCATCATCGAGCGACTCACATCCGCTAAGCGCCGCACAAACTTGTTGACCGCTAGCAAGTAGCTCGCTACGCTCCTGTGCACTTTGCTCCGACAACAGTCGCTTTGCATCAGTGGTTTCATTCACACATCTTGTATATTCCGTATCGTATGTTTCGGTAATGTTAGCCTGGTCGCTCTTATACCAATCGAAACAAGTATTGATATCCACGAGTGTTGCTCTCGCGCTGGGCCCCTCACCATTCATTGTGTTCACCATTTGCCGCATAACCATTAATTGTTGGTCCAACAGCGGCTGCAAGTCCGAATGGTCATTGGCCAAGCTAGTGCTGACGCAGCATACGACCAATAAGGAAAGTAATAATTTTGCAGACATTTTGCACTTTTTGCTATAGCTATATATGTATATATATATATTTTTTTTTTTAATTTTAAGTTTAGTCAAGTGGTTTTCCTTTCAACACTTAACACTTTCTATGCTGCTCTCGCTTACTACTGCTTTACTACTACTGTTCATTTAGCGCCTTCAGCCGCGGCATTTATATCGATCGCACGACTTTCTGATAACGCTTCCGAAATATTGATTATATTTTAATTTACTTTTTATCAGTTTCTTCGTTTTTAACTAGTGAAATTTCGGATACTTAAAAAATAGAGAGCGGAGCTTTTTTTAAACGTTTTTTGCGTTGAATGTAAGAAGCACTCTTTCGATACATTGTCACAACCAGTGATCGGACTTCTACCACATTGTGGTAGATCTGCCACTTTTTTGAGCATCTACCACATCTACCACACAAGGTCTGAAATCTACCACATATTCGCGTTTTTGAGTAGTTTTATTTTTGCTCGACATAATTTTCTTAATTTTAAGAGCAAAAATTGTCCAGCACTAAACACTAACAACAGGCAGAATGGGAGAATAAAATAAACCGTAAAATAGTAAATTTTTTCAATATTCAATTATTCAATTAATAGCGAAAATGTTAAAAAAACCGCGATTTTTGTGAAAGTATTACAAAATTTCAGTACATCTAAAGTTTCTAAGGCGTTGTTTACTTTTACTTGAGAATTGTCAAAATCGGCAAATCCCAAGTAGCGGTTTCTGGAACGTGCCACATTTGTTCGCTACATCGTGATGTGATTAAAAGAAAAGCTGACAGCACTCCGCAACGTTGCAGAAATCTTTCAAAATATGTTCGAAAAGTATCTTGATATGGAAGGAACTGCTTTACACTGTCAAGGAAACAAATTGCCAAAACTCAACGGAATTTTTAGCAACTTCAATCTTGCACTTCATTATACTAAAATTAATTTTTTTTTTTAGATTCAATTAAAATGTTTGCAATTTAGGTGAAACCTTGCAGAATA